AAACTTTAATAAAGACGAACGTCAAATTTATGAATCGATAATTTTTTAATGTTTTGGTCTAAAATTTTCTTAGGCGTCGAGAAAGGTGTCAGAAAATTTGAAGGATTAATATGGCAGTAAATTATCGAATCAGGAACTCTCAGAATTCCTGCATAAGTATTAGTGATCTGGATCGGGCTTAATTTTTCAAGCCCGGTACGGTCCGAAATTTTTTTTAAAAAGTTTTGCCGGCCCGAACCAGAAATTTTTTTAAAAAAATTTTCCGACCCGCGGTCTTACCCGAATTTATTTAAATATAGAAAATAATTTTTAAAATTACTCAAAATAAAAGACAAATGTTATATGTTGTCTAGTTTCTAAAAATAAAATCAAATATTTTTATTTTACATAAAAAATTTAATATATAATTGATAAATTTAGATATATTTAAAAAAAATTCTAGGCCCAACCCTACCCGGCCCTTTTTTTAAAAATATTAGGCCCGAACCCGATTTATTTAAAAAAAATTAGGTCTAAGCACGGTTCGACGGGTACTATATAATATTGTGATCTTAATATAACTAAAATTTATGATAGAAATAAATATATGCGTAATTTTTTCGAATAAAATATAACTATGTAAAAAGAACAATTTGAATTAAGAATAAAAAATTTCTGAGAATGTTTTTAACCATATCATTCAATGACACCTCAGAATAATAGATGCTGGAGAAAAAATGTAGTTGTTAAAAATTATATAATTATTACACAAGAATGGGGTTCAATGGACCCATTTAGGCAGTAGTGGAAATAATATTTTGTGACTTGGTTATAGTTATTCATGTATTTTGGGAACCTTAATATATAAGCTTCTGAAACATTATATTACTCAAATATGGCAGATGATCTACGGAAACAATTGATAGGTTAAGTGCAAAAAGACAATATGCATTTTTTAATTACTTGGGGTTTTTAATCAAACTAATTAGGGTTTAAATTTTACAAAATAAGTACTAAATAATGGTGAAAATAAAATGTTTGTCGCTGATAGATTTTTTGTTTATTTTGTTAATAACTTTTTTATTTTAAATTAGGCTATTAAACTGATTGAACCACTAACCAGGAAGCCCTAAAGAAGGATATAAAATTCATCCTTAGTGCTTTCATAATTTTCTGGCCATAATTTGACCTCTAAACATTTCTTTAACATATTACAATTTTTCATAAAGACGGTTAACCAAATTAATTACGGAATTCAAATTTGCTAATTAAGCACTAAATAATGGCAAAAACCGGATGTTTAGTACTATAGTTTTTGGCACGTCGCCATTATTTGTTTTTTCGCAAATAACTTTTTATTCTTAAATTCGGCAACAAAAGTGATTGAAGCACTAACTTCTACTAAGGAAGCCCTGAAGAAGGATATAAATTTCATCGTTAGTGCTTTCATAATTTTATGGTCAAAATTTGACCTCTAAATATTTCTTTAGCATATTACGATTTTTTCATACGACGGTTATCCAAATTAATAACGGAATTTAAATACATTAATTAAGCACTAAATATTGGCGAAAACCGGATGTTTAGTACTACTCTAGTTTTTGTTTTGGCACGTGGCCAATATTTGTTTAATTTAGTTTTTTTCGCCAATAACTTTTTATTCTTAAATTCGGCAACAAATGTGATTGAAGCACTAACCTCTACTAACGAAGCACTAAAGAATGATATAAGTTTCATCGTTAGTGCTTCCAAAAGTACGACCAACTTTACGCTTAAATCGTGACGTCATAATTTTTATTTAGCTAATAACTTTTTCCCATATGGCGGTTAACTAAACTAATAACTGAATTTAAATACATTAATTAAGAACTAAATAATGGCGAAAACCGGATGTTTAGTACTACTCTAGTTTTTGTTTTCGCACTTCGCCAATATTTGTTTAATTTTGTTTTTTCGCCAATAACTTTTTATTCTTAAATTCGGCAACAAAAGTGATTGAAGCACTAACCTCTACTAACGAAGCACTAAAGAATGATATATGTTTCATCGTTAGTGCTTACAAAAGTTCGGCCAACTTCACGCTTAAATCGTGACGTCATAATTTTTATTTAGCTAATAACTTTTTTTCCATATGGCGGTTAACTAAATTAATAACGGAATTTAAATACATTAATTAAGCACTAAATAATGGCGAAAACCGGATGTTTAGTACTACTCTAGTTTTTGTTTTGGCACGTCACCAATATTTGTTTTTTTCGCCAATAACTTTTTATTCTTAAATTCGGCAACAAAACTGATTGAAGCACTAACCTCTACTAATGAAGCACTAAAGAATGATATAAGTTTCATCGTTAGTGCTTTCAATCAACTTTTAAGCTTGAAGTTAGCACAAATTTTTGCTTGTAACTTTTTTTCCTTAAATTCGGCTACTATACGGATTGAAGCACTAAAAAATGACATATGATTCATCGTTAGTGCTTCCAAATGTTCGGTCAACTTGACGGAGCTCACTTTTTACAATAGCAACATATTATTTTTTTTATTAAAAAAACATCAAATAAATAAATTTATTTTCATTTCAAAATAAAACAATATAAATAAAAAATATTAAATCATATCATGTTTATTTGTTGATAATAAGAAAATATTTACATTAAATATAAATAAAATAAATTATTTTACTAAAATAAATAAATAATAATTAATGCTAGGCATCGATGCAGAATTTTTGACTAATTTATTATAGCCAATTTTTAGGCTTAGCCTAATTAGGTTTAGCCGATTTTTAATTAAAATACAGCATATATTTAATATTTTTAAAATTTTAGGGTATTTTTTTACCATGAAAAATATTTCAAAATTTCATACATAAAAATGATTTGCTCCAATTTTAATAAAATTTTAGACTTACTATTACCATTCTATAGGAATACAAAAAAAGTAGAGATGCTTTTTTAAATGATCTACATTGGTCCCAATTTTTCAAGCCCAGCCTGATCTTGAATGAATCTACCTTAATCTAAAATATAATTTATTGAAATGTTTAATAATATAAGTAGACTTTGCAGCATTGTTTTATTTAGTGGTGGTGGCCCATTTTTATTTTTATATTGGTGGAGCATCAATGCGTCAATAAAAAGTGATAAAACAACTTACATGAAAAACTGTAAATTTCTTTGTATATTATTGCAAAATTAAGCTTAAAATCCTAAATGTAAATATATCTTTAATATACCAAACAAAATATGAATATAAAATTTATAAATGTTTATAAAATATCTTTAACAAAAGTTTGATGGATCAACTTAAACAACAAGATGACTGAAAAAGTGTACATTATTTATAAAAGGGAATATATTAATGGATACATAAATATATTTTGCTCAAATTTTAAATATAAAAATTGAATTCATAAATTTATAGCAGAAGATATAGCATTGTAGTTATCATTTATAAATATAATTTTATCCAAGTTATTTGGAGTTAATGATCTTTTAAATTCAATATCAAACCAACAACAGAGAAAATACATTACTTGGGGGTGCTGGTAGCTGGAATGAAAAATATTTTCCTAGCAGGTATTGCTAAATTGAATTCTATCTCTTTGCATTTCCAAAATGTTAACATATCAATTTCAATTTTGGCTTGCTAGTTGCTACCCTAATAGGCATATTATAGCTAAAATTGTATTGGTAAGTTAATGGTATGGCATTCATATAAATATTTACATAAACGATTTTATATTGGTAAGTATTAGATAAAATATTATTAATATTTAATTTTAATAAATTATTTTTTATATTAATTGATAATTTAAGATTTATTATTGATTTGTGACTTATAGGAAAATGCTTCACAGCCAATTGTTATGTTAAAAAATATATAAAAATTTTAAAAAAATTCTGTAATACATATGAGCGAATTATATTTTTTTTTATACTTACATGCAACTCTGTTAGATCAAATAAATTTTTCTGTGATACATATATTTTTATACTTACATGCAATCTGGAAAATCAAATAAATGGGTGAAAAAACTAAGTATATCACAAAATAATTTTCACCTCTTAAACTATAAAATAAGGTTGAATAATAAAGGTATATAAAATAAAATCTCAAATGATTTTTAAGTAATAAATTTGGATAATTATTATGCTTAGTTGAAATAAAAAAAGTTTGGTTTAATCAGATTGATTTTTATTTCCACCCTTTGACTTTTATTGTTTAATAATAGAACGAAAATAATCAATAAAAATATGTCACTTTTATATTAATTCCCGCATTACCTGACCCAAAGCCTCGTCCACAGGTCAGCCATTGTAATTGTTGTGATAGGAACCTTTTAGATCATATATTATTTAAAAAATATCTTTATATTTACATTATTATAAATAATAAAATACGACATCTATAGTATATAATATTGCCCATTTTTTAAGTTTACACTCGTAAAAAAATTATACGTGTGATACTTCTAAAAGTATAAGAGTGAGGAGGCTAAAATTTTGCCATGGGTTACACGAACCTTAATTTATAAACAAATTTCTTAAAAATCGGAAGGAGTCGGCCGAATCATGATTTATTTGAAATAGTGCATTACTCATATTTTTTTTAATTATTAATTCAGAGCTCTGAACTACTTGGTTCATAAATATTACTTTATATATCTGATCTTATATTAAATATTTCTTGGTAAATATGTGAAAATTTTCTTTTATATTATAATTTAATTTGTAGTTTTATTTATGTGTAAACTATTTTTTTTATATATTCCTTGAGAACTCTGACATAAATAATATTGATTTGAATCTTATATTAAACATTTCTAGATTTGAAACTCCACTTTAAAATTTGAAATGTGGCGCATTGTTTGTTAGGTAACCTATCACGTCATACATCCTATTCTTAAAATTTCTCTGTCTTAAATGTACGAATCATTTTTTTTCCTAAACAAGGAAAAAACATAAGAATGAAAAAAATAAATTAAAAGTAAAATTAATATTTAAAAATTCTGCATCTAGATCGTTGAATTACCCGGTAAAGGTAGGGGTGTTTTAGCTGAAAAAAAGTTTTACAGAGGAGACTTTATCGTCGAATATGCTGGTGATTTAATCGATTTGAAAGAAGCCAAACTTAGGGATACTAGATACAAATTGGATAGAAACATAGGTTGCTATATGTATTACTTTGAAGTCGCTGGCAAACATTACTGGTTTTAAGAATATAATCATTTATTATTATATAAAATTTCAGTAACATTATTTTATTATTAAAAAATGCTAATTTTTGAAAACAAATTAAAATAAGAATAGGATATTTAATTCAAAGATTTTTTCTAAATCTTAGCTCATTTATTCAAAAAATATATTGATCTTAAAGTTTAAGTTAAACAATTAAATAAAACCACAGGCAAAGTGCTTCACATTTAATAATACTTTGAATGTTAATTTAATGTATTTGTTGATCTAACAGAGAGAGAATACAATTTACTCAATCCTCTTCCATCATCGTCAAATTAATAATTAAACTTTTCTAGGATTTCCTCAAAATGCCCTTATATTTATTTCCTATCATTTTTTTTCTATCCAAAAAAATATTAAAGCGTGGACGCGACCCCAGAAACTGACCGAAAAGGTCGATTACTCAATCATAGCTGCAAAACCTTCAACTGTAAGACTAAAGCCGTTTGGGTCAGAAAACTCAAACTCCCTAAGCTGATTCTTATGGCGACTCGTGACATCGAGATAGGTGAAGAATTGTTGTACGATTATGGGGAGAGGGACAAGGAAGCTATTAAAGCTCATCCATGGCTCAAGGAATAAAAAAAATATTCGTTTAAAATTCCAGAATGTTCCCTTTTTCCGAAACTTTCTTAGCAGAATTATTTATTTATTAAATCCCTATGCAGAAATGATAAGTCTTTTGACTTCCGTTTCTGTCTTTAATTTTTTGAAAATTTATATAACAAATAATGATAACTTTTGGCAGAACATCATATTGCTATATCGCCGAGATACACTTTCCCATAAGTATGATTTTACAAGAGTAATCAAAATATAAAATGATGAATGAATATATCAAAAATATGCTATATACTCTACTCGATTCATATTTATAAATTATATATAAACACGCGGAAACCAGTATTTTATTATCCATGATTCTATTTCGGTGACATTAGTATGTATATCTATATATATAAATGCATGTAAATTATTTTTATAACGAAATAAAATTTTCTTTCAAAATATTTATGTTTAGTATTTATATCTATAGCCACAGTAGATATAATTGTATTATAGTAATGAATAAAATATGTATAAGCATTCGTAAATTGTATATTTTTTATAAGATGTCAGGTTTCTTTCTCTGCTCTCAATATATTGAAACATCGTTAAGGGTGCCTCATGGATAATATTTTTTCATCAATGATTTACATAATTTAAGACTTAAATTAATCATCAAAAAATATTTCTGCGAAAATGGTGACTAGGTTTTTTTCATAAACTTAAGTTTGAAAATTAATTCATTTGAAAGAAGGGTCGGTATCGACAAAAAAAAGTGATATTGGGGCATCTCTGAATAGGCCAAGGTTTTGTGTCTAGTTTGGCGTCAATATTTTGTAAATAGATCCATCCCTATTATAGCTATTCAAAAATGAATGGAATAATTTTCTTTTCTTATTTATAATAATCAAATTTGAATAATGAATTTTAAAGAATTGAATACAAATGATTTATTATTTGATTCGTATTTGTTTTTGAATGGGTCTAGACCGACCAATCCTTGTTAGAGATCTGCAAATAACGGCCCGTCCCGAGCGGGTTTTGGTCGGGTCATTTAAAAATAATAATTTAATTTTTAAAAAATTTCGGGCCAGGTCTGGCCTAAATTTTTAAATATGATATTACATTTTGTTAAATAAATTGATATATTATAAAATTCTTGAAAGAAACAAAGCGCTAATATTTTTTATTTGTAAAATATTTTTTTTACAATCAAAAAATATATTTAATAAAATTCGGGCCGGACGGACAAATAATTTTTATTTCGGGTGTTTTTCGGGACATATAAAAAAAGAAAATTTTGTTTGTGGTTGAGCCAGGCCGGACAATTTTTTTTTAAATTTAGGCTGGGCTTGAAAATTTAGGCCCGATGCAGATCATTAATCCTTGCAATTAATTTGGTATCAAATCCTTCAACGCTTACTGAAAATGTCTTTTAATAACATTGGTCTTTGCTATCATGAATAAATCTGGAATATACTTTTCTGGAAAAGCATGTAATTATTTATATTTCTATTTATTTACAGTATTAATATGATTTGTTGTAACACATTTTCATAATGTGAAAAAACAATCTTATATAGTTAAATAACTTTCCATAATTATTGTAAAAAACATTTTGATATAAATTAAATTTTTTAAAAAAATTTTGATAAAATTTTTAAAAGTTTTGTTTTAAAAGTTTTGATAAAATTTTTAAAAGTTAAAGTTTTGATAAAATTTTTAAAAGTTAAAATTTTTAAAAGTTTTGATAAAATTTTTAAAAGTTAAAGTTTTGATAAAATTTTTAAAAGTTTTGATAAAATTTTTAAAAGTTTTTAAACTTTAATGAAGACTAACATCAAAGTTATGAATCAAATAGTTTTTTTTGGACACAAGTTTAAGTGGAAAAATGAGAATTCAAAAAAAATTTTTAATAATAAAGTTCTTAAACTTTAATGAAGACTAACGTCAAAGTTATGAATCGAATATAGTTTTTTTATGTTTTGGAGATAAGTTTAAGTGGAAAAATAAATATTTTAATTAGTAAATAATAGAATATTATATTAACAAACCTGAAACTGGAGATAGATTCAAAATACTAGCGATAGTAAAATTTGACATTTAAAAAAATGGAAATATAGTTTTTTAAAAAATAGAAGTTTAAAATTAAAATTGTCGCAAATTTAAGAAAGAATTATTATAGGTTTTAATTTAAGTTAATTACCGGAAGTTTTTAAAAATATAATGTGTTTCTCAAAATTTTCTTTCAAGTTTTTAAAAGTTTTTTTAAAAAAGGTTGTATTTCTCAACAAGTTTTTACAATAATTACGGAAATTTAAATTGAAGTGTCGGGGCTTCCGTTATGGAATGGTTGGTGGCACATCTCGATGATTTTTGGTATGCGTCATTTTCGGAAATTTTAAATTTTATTTAATTTTAAAACTAAAAAAAAATAAGAATTATTTGAAAACCCTAAATTCGAATATTCTTTCACTTATGTTTATTAAGAAATTATCAAATTTTTTATCCTGATTTCCATTCTTTAGATAACTAAAAGTAACATTAATATATTGTAATAATACTTTAAATTTAAAAAAATTTATAATGTGCATTTAAAAAAAAAATTATTCTAAAAATCTTAGAAAATTTTTATTCTCATTTTCCCACTTAAACTTGGGTCCAAAACATAAAAAAATTATATTCGATATATAACTTTGACGTAAATCTTCATTAAAGTTTAAAAACTCTTATTATTAAAAAAAATTTATATCAAAAATTTTATCAAAATGTTTTTACAATAATTATGGAAAGTTATTTCACTATATAAGAATATTTTTTCACATTATGAAAATGTGTTACAACAAATCATATTAATACTGTATATCCCAAGGACATTTCATTTTTTTAATAATAAAATTATTTTATAATTTGATTGGAATTTTATGTTTTAATTTTTAAAAATCGTTTTTTTTATGATAATAAAATGAAATAATTAAAATAAAAAAATTATTTTTTCAAAACAATAAAAATAAATTAATATGTATATTGTGTAGAGCAAAATTCAGATATATTGTCGATAAAAATCTCCTAAGCCTTGAAACTGTCCATCATTTTTGACGAAAAACTCAGTTCGTTAAGTTGGCAATCGTCAAGGGAGTTACCAACACTGCTTAATGTGATAACTTCTTTGATAAGTTATCTTTTTTAGTCCTTCAATAATATTAAGTATGTTCCTTTAGAGACTGTGGTTCAATATTTATAAATTTTTCTGTCGTATTTTAATCCGCGGGAAATTTTCTAACAAGGGACCCGCCCACTTTGAATTTAATTTTTAAAATTCTAGCTTTCTATTTAATTTAAATATTAAAGGAACTTCTATATAAAATAATATATTAAAATCTAGACAAATTATGGAATCTAGTAATTAAGCAAGGTTGTGCTTAGACTTTTGGCCCAGGGCAAATATATTTTTGAAATTCGGATTGAGTCGAGTGCAATAAAATATTGTCTATTCCAATTTTTTATTAAACAGACAATTCCAGTAAAAAACCGCAATTCTTGAAAATCTTTGGTTTTTATTGGACAAGTTTATAGTTAACCAATTTGAAATCATTGTTTTATATCATTTTTAAATATAATTTTTTTGTTAAAAAGGAAAAGGGAGGGTAAAAAAAGAAGATTAGAGTTAACGGATGTTAATGTAGGAAAGATAAATTATAGTTAGAAAGCATCCTATAAATGACAAAGAGATAAAGGATCTTATAGCGCAATGTTTATATAATTTACTATATTTTATCTAAATTATTCACAATCAAATTGTATAATTAAAATTTTTTAACTTAATTATACAATAGGGCAAAATTTTATATTTCTTGCATTTTTGTTTGCAAATAATTAGGTTATATATTCGCTAGTGATTTTAATTTCAAAGGAAATTTCAGACATCTTGATTAAAATAAGCTTAATCTTATTGCCATCTTCTAGAAATCTTAATGGTAAAATCTTAATTTAGCAGTTTTTTAAATTTGAATAAATCGAAGTTTATAATAGCACTAAATACAGCGTGAGGATATTAAACGTCGAGCAGGGACAAACTGGCTATGTTGCGGTCTGGTGGACCTCATTTTTATGAGGGTTGCACCCTATTTTCGCTTTTACCCCTTTTCTGGCTCATTCCTTATTATAGCAATTACATTTTTACGATAACCACATTTTTAAAATATGTGCATTTAAAATCATACTGGACATTTATTATCAAACTCATTCACATATACTAATATTGCAAATGTGCATATATAATAATAGATTCCACATATAAAATCCTTTAATCGCACATATAATTATTAAATATTGTCCTATACAATTTACAGTTGGAGTTTATAGGAAATTGAAGTGATCTTGCATCTTCACGATTTATTTGTTACAATATATATTTACCTCCTTCGCTCCCTTATACCCCTTATTTTCATTTGCAAAGTTAGTAAAGGAGTTATAAAATATGTATAAAACTGTAAATAATCAAAATTTACTTTCATTTAAAGCATAAAAAATATCTAAATTCTAATCTATTGATATGATATTCTAAATGCTAAAAAAAGGAAATATGATTTTTAAATTTTTTTTTTTAATTGGTCGTTTTTTTTATCAAATTGTTTATTAATTACAAACTCTATATTTCATTACCCTAGAATATGTACATAAAGCACTATTTTATAATAAAGCAATTTTTAACAAACCTATTATTTTATTTATTTTTTTTAAAAAAACGAATATTTTTATCATTTTTCTCTCCTCCCTCCACTTATTTTGAAAATATATCTTCTAATTAATATTTTAATATTTAATGAGTCCAAAAATATATAATATTCACAGGTGTCAAACAAAAAAATTTTATTTAGATATAAATATAAAAAATTGACAATTTTTAAATGTCTAGATATATAATAATATCAATAATAATAAAAAAATATAGATTTTTAAAGCTCAATAAAACTTCTAAATTGTGACTTGGTTTGTCCGGACTAAAATTATTTTAAAAACCATTAAAATAATTATTTCTTCTTAGGGTAATCACCTAATATATTAACTAAAATATCAGAAATATTGATTTTTAAAGAATGATAAAAGATTAATTACATCTTTTTTAAATATAAAAATTATTAGCTCATCAGGTAAAAAATTGGAAAACTAAAGATGGAAAATAATTTTTCGTTTGATATAAGGGAATACAAGGAAAAACACTATTAAAAAGGAGTTTCAGGAGAAATGTGTATTTGTCTGGTCTAAATAGAGATTGCCTTCTTTTCTGCTCCGAACAATTCTATCGTTTGCCTTATAAAATTTGAGCAACCTTTTTTTTGTTTCTAATTTTTAAATCATTTTATTACTGTTACGAATATAATATTAAATAACCTTTCTAATTTTATCAATCTTTTATTTTTGATCTTAGAATAAATAATCATGCAAGAATGTACCCTCAGAATCTAATTTTATTATATTTAATTATCGACAATTAGACTAGCTTTTTAGGTTTCTCTTACATTTAATTACAGTTTACAGAATTCATGGTTGTCACGAGTTTGTAGCTTAAGATTTAAATTTTTATTCCTTAGAGAAACTTTAATTCTTGATTTTTCTGTATATGGGTATCCTGTTTTTGTAGTAAACAATATCATTCAGCTTTGTGACCAGGAATTCTCACTTGAATTACCCCTCCCAGGGATTCCACGAAGAAAATGCTTCATACTCCTCTTCATATGTCAGAGGCCTGGGCTAACTATGGGAGGGCAAGCCTGGAATCCATGCCTCTTTGAAATCTCTGCTCCTACATGAGAAAATACAATTTTTTTTAAATTTTCTTGTATGCTAAATAAAACTTTTTAATGTCTTATTTTTGTGATTTAATAAAATTATTAATATATGAGCAATGCTAAATTGAAAATAATAAAATTGGAATAATTTAGTGAGCCGAGTTTAAATCGGATCACCTACAAAATTGTATAATGATGTAGCGTTGAACCCCATTGATTTTTTAAAAATTAAAATATTAGTTAATGTGGTAATACAAAAAATTTGATTGTTTTAAGGTAGCGTCTCTGTTCTAGTCGGTTGAGTCCTTGTAACGCTAGGACCATGTTTTATTTCTAAAACCAATTAGATTATTCCATGTTACTACAATGATATATGGAATATCGGAGGCGATCGCTCGATACCGTTAATATATAATAAAAAAATAAGTGGGTCTTATTCCATTTTAATAAAATTTCGTTTAGCAAATTACTATATAGTGGCCAACGCTCTATATCATTACCCATAAATTTTAGGTATGCCCCTCTTCCTAATTTTGGGTGTAGTTACGCAACTGGCCATTATAAGTATCATATTATATAATTAACACATTTAAAAAAGTTTCTATTTTTTCGAAATTTTCGTTTCTTAAATATAATCAAACTTTCTCAGATCCCTGGTTTAAAGAAATTTCGGATTATTTTTCCTAAAATTACTTATTTCTAGTATTTTATTAGTTTATTTTTTTAATGGTCAAATGATTTCATAAGGAATGTGATAAGATAAACTCCTCTTTTTTTGCATAAAATAATATTTAGGAAAATTTGTCCAAGTCAAGAATTTTCATTTCATCCTTGTATATAGCAAAGGCTATGGACATCCCTTTTGGTTCATAAAATATGTGCAAATCAATAATTATCCAAAATTGTAAAATGTTCGAATTTGTGTGGTATAATAATTTTATTTGTTAAGCTTAGAAATAACTGTTAAAGCTATTAAATACGATGAAAATAAAATTTCATTTAGCATATAATTTAATATTTTCTTTTTCTAAATATTTTTTTTTAAAATGAAAATTAAGATATTAATATTATAAATATAAATAATGGTAGTATGTATATAAAAGGTATATTTTTGTTTGTGGTTTAAAAAAAAAAATTTCCTTTGAGTGAACCTTTTATTATAAAAATATTTTGGCACAAAAATGTAATGCGTCTATTGCGCCTACATAGAGTAGTTTATGAAAATGAATTAATATATTTCCTTTAATATTATTAAATTTATTAATCAATTTAAGTGAGATTTTGTCGATTGATTATATTAAATTCAACCTATAAGGTTATGGGTTGTTTTAAACAGAAATATACATTAGTGTAACAATGATATTCACAAGAAAAGTAATCCATGGTGGATGCCGCCCCATACTCCCTGGTGGCAGACACATCTACACCACCCAGTAATCTATTGATGATAATACCACTACCTAGTGGCATATCCAGTATTTTATTTCGGAATCCCTCCAAAAAGGATCGTTCCGCGGCCCTCCCTCTTGTACTAGTCAGCTGTGCCTTTTGCAAGATAAAATGGATATTATGCCCATTTTATATTAATATTAATTATTTTTCGAAGTTTCAGTGTCAGTTTTGTTAGTTAGGGGTAAAAATTAACTTGGGAGGGAGGAGGATGTAAAAACCGCAAGTAATAAAGGTTTTTTTCGAGAAATGAATTTCATTCGGAAGTAATACCACTCATACCTGAATATTCATTTTCCTTATATATTTTTCGAACATCTCAAATCTCGTTAGGCGATTATGCATTTCCTATCTCTTTTTCTCTAAAAAGTATTAGATTGAGTATTTTTAGATCTATATATAATATCATGAATAATTTCACGACTAATCATTAATACTTTAGAAATTCATCATAGGATCCCACATTAAAATATATAAAAAATTATTTTAACATAAAATAATAGGAATAGATATAAATTAATAGAAGATGCAACCTATAAATTCTCTGAAAATTCTAAGTAAGAGCGATCAGTTTGATTCACGAATATTATTTACAGTTCTATAAAATTTCTGAATTAAAACATCACATTTCTCTATATGAAATTTTATGCTGAAACTGTTATGAAAATAAAATATATGGTGATCTAATTTCTATAAGGTTATCATACGTTTATAGAGCCTGCCCATGGTAAGCGGTGTCTACAACATTTATGTTTTTTTCTCTTGTAAAATATAATCAGGCTATGTTCAATTTGAACAGGAAATTGAAGAATATACATAATAGAAAATTACTAATTATAAGCTGTGTTCCTATGGGCCCTAATAATTGTCATGTTCTCTCAGGTTACAAACTTACATTTTTTTAAATATATTTTATCAATTGCAAATTTCCCGATAGAGGCAGGGGGCTAATTTTTCGCCCTCTCCTCTCTTGCTTACTCCACTGAATACACTTTATAATAATCGTTGATATGTAGAAAAACGAGAATATTAAGAGGGAGAAAGAAAGCAAAAATGATTAACTGTGAACACTAAACATAAGCGAAAGTGATAAATGACTATTTTAATGAAGTTTCTTTAAGGAAAAGTTATCATTAATTTTTTTATAGCTGAGCTAAAAAAGTTTTTATCAAGTCAGATTCAATAAAAAAAATATATTCATTTTTTTTAAATCAAAATTTATGATTGCTTTAAAAAGTAAGTTAAATTTTTTAAATAAATATTGTTAATTAAATTGGCAAAATATTTGTATCTTTTCTTTTTCATTATGAATACTCAGTTTGTTAATTAGATTTAGCCAAATAAACTTGAACCAAAGTTTTTACTTTGCATGAACTGGAATCAATTTTACACCGCAAATATAAAGTTGAACGTGATAAATTAGTTACTATTTAAAAAAACCTTTACCAACCCTAATTAATACATTCTTTTAAAGAATAAGTATCTTTGCTCTCCTTGTAATTAAATAAACAATTTCATTATATTTATATTAAATATAGGTGACACGTAGTCTATACTGAAAAATAGAGTAAAATATTATCACCAAATCATATCTCAAATTTTCAAACGATCCTATTTTTTCGAATCGGACAGAAGGTCTTTAGAATTGCTTCCCTGGTTCTTTCTGCAATAAATAAAGTTTATATATTTTTATAAATTAAATATTATCTTTTTACAGTAATCAAATTAAATATAAAAAATTCAATCTCTTGTGAACTAATATTTTTAAACAGATGACTGAGTAAAAAGATTGGAAATATCCTTCATATTAGTTCCATTATTACGAAAATATAAAATATACTACTAATGTATGATTTAGTCATTACATTTTTATCTAGGGTTCCCATCATTGGCAACTTACTGTACCAATTGAAATCACATAAAAACGCATCGTAATTTTAATATTGAACCAGAGGTTATAGAAGAATAAAAAACTTATTAATAAAACATAATATTTTGGTGAATATTATTAAAACATTTTAGCATTTTTATTAAAATAAATAGTCGAAGAATGAAACTAGCTTATATTATAAAGGACACTATCGACAAATATAAATAAATAGTTAAAGATATTATATATAGGCCCAGAGCTAAAAAGTTGCAATTAAGAGGGCCAAGTTTTTGGGGGTTAACATTTTTTTTTGGTGGAAGGGGCGGGGGGGAGGGGTTGGTATCTTTTCTATATAAGCCATTATAAATAAATTTGGAAGTATATATAAAATATGAAACAAATTTTAACTTTATATTCATTAAAATAGAATCCACTAAAACTAGAAATCATTTTCATTAATTTTATAAATATTCACAACCGAATAAAATATTATTATCGTTATTTAATCCTAAGTATATATCTAGATATTGCTGATTTTCAATTTCTCTTCTAGATAAAATTAAATGTCGTTTTAGCCATTTTTCTATTTTATTAAATGCGTAAGTTCAGTAAAACGTTTTATGAACATCAGTTTTATACATAATATATATATATATTAAATTATTAACAATTGTCATCTATCTTGGAATATATATGAGATAAGTAGTTTCCAGCATCATAGCTCAAGCAAAATGGTACCTTAGTTTCCGCTGATGAATTATGTTCGGGGAATATATCGTATCTTTCTTTAAATATGTCATTTAATTTAACATTATTATCTTCGCGTGAGATATGGTCTTGATGATATCGAAATAGTCTCAGATATTTATAACAGTCTATGGGTGGATAGTTTCCAGAATAATGGCAATCTGTTAGGTCGGGAAGATTATTTATTGCATTTTTTTTATCATTATTTGTTATGTTAAGGTGAGATTGTGCCATATTCCTATTAATGTGAAGCTCTGAAACAAATTTTTGGGATACATTTTCATCTTCAATTAACTTAGGAACGTCTTCAACTATAGCCCCATGCTCCATTAATTGATTGTATGCCTCATATCTTTTAATATTATTATTGCTATGAAGCTTTGATTTGACAGGATATTGCATTGTGTGATATTGAAAAGAATACGTTTTAGAATCATTGTGAAAATCCTTGGAATAATCATTATAGGCGGACAGTCTTCGTCTATTTAGATTATTTGTGTTAGGATCATTTGTGGTCATAGGCACTATAATATAAGTCGGTTCTGTTTCTTTGGAAAAAGTATTTTCATTCTTATGTTGATATTTATTCCACCACCTATTCTGTTGCTGGTTGATATTGTAATAATAATAAAATTTATCATTTTTTTCAGATTCTACTCCTTGGGTTTTATTCGCACATAGAAGGTTCCAAGGAAGATTAGTGTTCTAGTTGTAAATAAAAGAAAAATAAAAATTGAATTATGAATAAAAAAAACCGGATAAGGGTAATTGAAAAATAATTCAGGTTTGTCTAAGATGAAAAAAAAAAGAAGTCTCATGGATTTAGAAAATGAAATATTAAGATCTTACTCATATCAAAAAGAATATCCTTAAAATCATTCATACTTTTTTCTTACACGATTCTGAAAAATCACAATATTTTCTCACATCTTCAATAAAATTGTTCATAAATCTTTTATTAAGGTTTCATAGTTTTTCATTTTTGTGGGCCTAGCAAGAGTAGACTCTTTCTCACTCTTGGCAAATTTTTATGAATGAATCCCTAAAATATTCTCAAACCAATCCCAATGTAGTCTTTGTTTAAAACTGACACTAATGTTTACTATATCAATGATAGTTTATTTATTTTTTTAAATAGTTAACTTGTGTTTGAGATATTTTCTGGACTGGAACCACTATGCATTGATGATTTCGATTATCTTCCAGTAAACTATTACTCAATTCCAAATTGTCTAAATGATTAGTTTTTTTGTTGATCAAATTATCAGTATTCTTGTAGATCAAGCAAGAATCTTTTTTAAATCCGACACATTTAAGCTGTTTTTGATTTCTAGAATATTTTAGAAAAAAATAGATTTGTTAAAGTAAAAAAAACTAAGATAAAATATTTTTTCATGCATAATAAAATTATACAACCACTTAGTGGTAAAGTGTGGAATGAAATTGTATTTATAAGAAAATAATATTTTGTCACAAAATATTTTCAAATAAATTATTGAATTACTGTTGTTTGCCCGATACTTTATTTTAAAGAAATTTTTATAATAATAAAATGAGATTCGACCAATTATCCTCTAAATCATAGAGCTTGGAATTATTTCATATATATATATATATCAGATTCCGCTGACTCCTGTTAAAGTGTTAGGAATTCTGGAGTAATCTCAGATCATCCTAAAACCACATTTGATATTATATTTATACAAAAGCAAGCTAACAAAAAATTTAATATTTTAGCCATTTATAAGAAATAAGTATATTATAAGAGATAATTAATATCAGTAAAATAAAGGGTTGAAAAATTATACATATCATTACCTCCAGAAATTTGTCTGTTCTTGTAAATATCATTTAAAAAATCCCAGACTCTACACCTCTCGAATGCATATAATATATCACTATAAACACTAACATGAAAGAAAATTAAGTAAAAGTTAATAAATTTTTTAAATACCGACTATAATTCAAAAATTTTTGAAAAAAGCATTTTTATAAAATTTATTACGGAAAAACCCACCTAATCGTGCTTTCTCCCTACAGGAAAAACCTAGATACGCCTATGATTACCTTATAAAAGGCAGCAAAATCAATATAATAAAAAATTATTTCTGTTATAAAATTTAAAATTTTGGTTCCATTAAATAAATCTTTTACAATTTACAAATCATAATAAATTTGTATTAAATTAAATTAAATTATGATATAATATTAGTTATAATGGTCAAAGAATTTCGGCAAAACATAAATAAAACTATAAAAACTAGAACACATTCAATTTTAATTCAAATTAATTCATTTAAGCTATCAAGGTCTCTACTAAAAATAATAGTCTCGATGTATGAATATAAAATTTTTAGGATTTCTTTAAAATCAAAACTCATTTCAATTTTTTTTTGATGTAACCGAATAATAAAATTATTTTATTTTAGCTAATCTAATTAAAAGACTTTATAACCGCTACAAACATCATAACTAAATTATAAAGTTTGAATGGAAATAAGTCGAATTATAAGTGTTTTTTGATACAATGAGTTGAATAATTTTAGTAACTGTCTCTATCTCTGATCTTTAAAATGATCATCGTCATTAAAATACTTTGGTATTTTTCGAGGACCGTAGTCCAAAGCTGTTTCTTATTAATATTTAAGTTTGCCTTATTAATTTATATAATTTTTTAGAAAATTTTTGAATATATTTTATTTTATATTACTTTTCTAGAGGAGTTACTTTCATATTGGAGATACTCTTTCTTTTTTAGTTCATTTTTATTTTGCAATATACTATAACGAAATGTTTGTCAAAAAAGTATTTTACTTATATCAAATAATTGATTATCATAAAATACTTATATATTTAAATTAAATCATAAAACAAGAATTAAATAAAGGAAAAACAAAAATATTTTTAAAATAACAAAAAAATTAAAAGAATGGTATTTTTATATAGGACTACTGCCTAGGCCCCATCTTTTATTTAATGACCGTGGTCCGATCCGTGCGTAGTTCCTAAAGACCGAACTGTAACCCTCACTACTTTCAATGTCATATCTCTATTTACAGAATGACAGTTTTTTTAAAATTGATATTTTTATTTTTAAATATGAATATGAAAATCGTTAGGGTTTTGCAAATCTGGAGTTTTAGCAAATCTTTATGAAAATTATTTGTAGTAGTAAAGATTTTTTATTTAAATTTTGAAAGACCTGATTAGTTTATAATTTTATTTCAATATGCAAGGAGTACTACCTTGCAATTTTAAGTAAACATTTGAACTATTCTTAAATTAAATTAATTTCTATATTCGACGGTTTTTAGTAAATTTAAAAATTAACAAATATTTTATGCGAAATTGTCTAAAATTCACAAGCTAGGTTTATACATATTCCGATAAAATAAAATGAGCTAGATAATTTAAGTTTTTATAATTTGCTAATCCGGGCCTACGAAGCATAGTCCTGAATTTATTAAACTCATATGATATTTATAGTATATCTATATCTTGTTCGCTTGTTTTTAAATCACATACAGGGTTTCCCATTCAAAAAAGGAAAAGTCCCAATCATAAAAGGAAAATGTTCAATCAAAAAAAGAAAAGGCCCAAACAAAAAAGGAAAAGTGTCAATCAGTTTTAGGAAAAAGTCCGATCAAAAAAGGAAAAGGTTCAATCAAAAAAGGAAAAGTGTCAATCGAAAAAGGAAAATTCCCAAAAGGAAAGGAAAAGTGTCAATCAAAAAAGAAAAATTCCCATTCAAAAAAGGAAAATCGTAATTTTTTAAAATTTCTTAACAATTTTTTTTAAATTTTTATTTATTTTTGTTATTCCTTCTTATTTTATTTCTAACTTTTTGCGATTTCTTTACATTAATTTTCTTACTGTATCTTCAATCTATTTCTAACTTTTTGCGATTTTCTTTACTTTATTTTTCTTACTATATCTTCTCTCAATTTATTTTTCTTCTCATTTTTGATAATTCTTTTGTATTTTTAAAAATAATTTATAAATTTAGGTCCATTAACAATTCTTTACTTTTTTTTTCATCAAACATACAATATTCTTTTTGTGATTTTTTCATTGTAATCTTTTACATACATTTCTAACCTATTCAATGATTTTTAATCTTTATTTTTTGAGCTTTTCTCAATTTTTTTCTTCTCATTTTTGATAATTATTTTTTAAAATTATATTTATTTTTTTTGGCAGACAAATATCAAATTATTTATAATTAGCAATTGCTAAATTAAATTAATCGTTTGGTTATAATGTACCTTTTTAAAATTAAATAAGTTTGAACTGTAATACCAAACGATATGTAAATTAATAAAATATAATCATTTTTAAATTCATATTTTTAAAATTTTCAAAAATGAGAAGAAAAAAAATTGAGAAAAGCTAAAAAAATAAAGATTAAAAATCACTTAAAGAGATTGAAAAGGTTAGAAATGTATGTAAAAGACTACAATGAAAAAATCATAAAAAGTATATAGCAGGCGCGTAAACAATGGGTGGGGGGGGGGCCCCATCGCAAATTTGATTGTTTTCATAAATATCATTTTAAGCTAACAAAAATTTTACCCTCCACCCCCCCCCCCCCAATCAAAATTTTACAAATATTTGAATATCAATTTTCCAACATAAAACTTATTTTTTATAAATAAATTTTATTAAAATTTTCTTTCCTTGTGAGTACATTAACATTATTCAAAAATATTAATAAATGGAAATATTTTAAGTCAAAGAGATTGAAATCAAATGGTAATTTATTTTATTATTATATATAATTATTTTATTAAATTCAAAATTATTAGTAAGTTAGAATTAATAAGTATTTTTTGTAGAACAGAAGAAATAGAAATACAAAAGTTAAATAAGGCTGAGCATGAAAAAAGTAATGTGTCGTCAGAAGCGATATCATTATTGAATTAAATTGATCATTCAGAGTTTATCATTGCTGCTAGTTGCATCAATAAATTATTTTCCTATAGCTCACTACTTTGTAGAAATTTACAAAAACCAAATTCAGGTTATTGATTTGGTGGAAAATATATAAGAACAGGTAGATACAATAAGAATGAATGTAGATGAATATTTTCATAATATTTATATAGACATTGAATCGAAGGCTAAATTTTATGATATAACACTAATTAAACCTAGCTTAGCACCTGGGCGATTATTGAGATACAAAATAAATATTGGCTCAACTGAAGAATATTATAAAATATCCACTTTCATCCCATTCTTAGATACTTTTTTATCGCAAATAAAAGTACGGTTTTTAGATAAAAAACAAGTCTTTAGTAATCATCAAATTTTATTACCTAAAGACCATTCTTCGTTTTCTGATGCCATTATTGGTAAAATTAAATATTTAGTAAAATTTTATTCCTATGATATTCATACTTAAATCAATTTAATCAGTGAATTCGCATTTGTGGTATAAATATTTACTACGTTTTTTACCTGAGCATGCTATTGATGCGCTCAATCGGTGTAAAGAAACCTTGGCTCAAATTCCTAATATTTTGAAGTTGTTTTATATTCTACCATGTTTGCCTATTATAACATGTACGAATGAAAGGACTTTCCAACTTAAGAAGGTTGAAAACATATTTATGAAGTACTACTTCCGAATCTTGGCTAAATGGGTTAGCTCTGTTAAACATCCACAGAGATTTGGTTCTAATGACAAACAAAATTCTTGATGAATTGGCAACATTCCCACGAAAATTAAAAATCACATTATAATTATATTATTTAATAAAAAAATTTGTATAATATTGTATTTGATAAGGTTTAAAAAAACTTGTATAATATTGTATTTGATAAGGTTTAAAAAAAACTTGTTTTTTAAATTATTTTCTAGTCAAAATTTTATAGTGTTGTTAAACGCCTCGTTTTGAGCCGATTTTTAAAAACGGCTAACTCAGTTATTTATCCAGAAAAATATTATGCAAGCCTAAAAATTTTGCTCATAGAAGGAGCAAAGGTCTCGATATATAGTATCGAAATTTCGAGGCTTAGTTAATATTTTTCTGGCGAAAATTTTGAGTTAGCCGTTTTTAAAAATCGGCTCAAAACGAGCCGTTTAACAACATTAATATTATATACATCCTACTATTAGTATTTTCAATAAAAAAATTATATTATACTTATATTGTATGAGAATTTAAGCTGAGGCTAGCTTTTAAAGAAAATTTTATAAAAAAAATGACATTAAACTTTATTTCAACTTTACATTTAAAAAACTTTATTAAATATAATATACCTAACTAAAAATAATAAAAAATAGGCTTGTAATATACATTAGCACGAATTAGTAAATAATAGTTA